ATATTTTAATGCTTTTATTTAGAATCAGAATTCCTTTATTCTGTACCAGAGAGGGGAACATGTAGAACTTTCCACTTTTACTCCAAGAATCCATCGTCACACTTCAACAACACCTGTTGAAAAGGCTGGTCAAGGCCAAGAGAAGTCAGAGAGCATATGAGAGATGGTCTTTTGTTTATTGAGGCTTGAATATCTGTCCGATAGGTGGATGAGTTCCACTCTGTCCACCAGAAATTGACTGCAACCATGGCCGACCATTCTAACTACATCAGGAACATGCTGGTGCAGGCAGAGGATGCCCGCCTGATGGGTGAGATGTGAGTATTGTGCATTATTATCAACAATTTGCATTTCACCATACACTGTTAATACTGATATAAAATCTTTTTTTAACAAGCAATTGTTTCTCTCCCTCTTTTTCCAAATACTTTTGCCCTCTGAAGGATTACAATGAAGAAGCGTTACAGGGAGCTGTACGATCTAAACAGAGATCTGATCAACGAGTATAAAATCCGCTCAAACAACCACAATGCACTGCTGGCCTGCCTGAAGTCTGTCAACCAGGCCATACAGCGAGCTGGTAGACTCAGAGGTAAGGCACTGTGTATTCTTATGTATTTGGGTCTGCTGCAAATTGAGGCCTCTAAATAGTGTCCGCTCTATAATTAACAGTGCTTTGAAACTTAAAATCATGTGTGGCATTCTATATGAGTAGTTGCTTCTTGCATATATACAGTGGGGCAAAAAAGTATTTAGTCAGCCACCAATTGTGCAAGTTCTCCCACTTAAAAATATGAGAGAGGCCTGTAATTTTCATCCTAGGTACACTTCAACTATGAGAGACAAAATGGGGGGAAAGAATCCAGGAAATCACATTGTAGGATTTTTAATGAATGAATTGGTAAATTCCTCTGTAAAATAAGTATTTGGTCACCTACAAACTCCACTATGGCCAAGACCAAAGAGCTGTCAAAGGACACCAGAAACAAAATTGTAGACCTGCGCCAGGCTGGGAAGACTGAATCTGCAATAGGTAAGCAGCTTGGTGTGAAGAAATCAACTGTGGGAGCAATTATTAGAAAATGGAAGACATACAAGACCACTGATAATCTCCCTCGATCTGGGGCTCCACGCAAGATCTCACCCCGTGGGGTCAAAATGATCACAAGAACGGTGAGCAAAAATCCCAGAACCACACGGGGGGACCTAGTCAATGACCTGCAGAGAGCTGGGACCAAAGTAACAAAGGCTACCATCAGTAACACACTACGCCGCCAGGGACTCAAATCCTGCAGTGCCAGACGTGTCCCCCTGCTTAAGCCAGTACATGTCCAGGCCCGTCTGAAGTTTGCTAGAGAGCATTTAGATGATCCAGAAGAGGATTGGGAGAATGTCATATGGTCAGATGAAACCAAAATAGAACTTTTTGGTAAAAACTCAACTAGACGTGTTTGGAGGAGAAAGAATGCTGAGTTGCATCCAAAGAACACAATACTGTGAAACATGGGGGTGGAAACATCATGCTTTGGGGCTGTTTTTCTGCAAAGGGACCAGGACGACTGATCCGTGTAAAGGAAAGAATGAATGGGGCCATGTATCGTGAGATTTTGAGTGACAACCTCCTTCCATCAGAAAGGGCATTGAAGATGAAACGTGGCTGGGTCTTTCAGCATGACAATGATCCCAAACACACCGCCCGGGCAACGAAGGAGTGGCTTCGTAAGAAGCATTTCAAGGTCCTGGAGTGGCCTAGCCAGTCTCCAGATCTCAACCCCATAGAAAATCTTTGGAGGGAGTTGAAAGTCCGTGTTGCCCAGCGACAGCCCCAAAACATCACTGCTCTAGAGGAGATCTGCATGGAGCAATGGGCCAAAATACCAGCAACAGTGTGTGAAAACCTTGTGAATACTTACAGAAAACGTTTGACCTCTGTCATTGCCAACAAAGGGTATATAACAAAGTATTGAGATAAACTTTTGTTATTGACCAAATACTTATTTTCCAACATAATTTGCAAATAAATTCTTTAAAAATCAGACAATGTGATTTTCTGGATTTTTTTTTTTCTCATTTTGTCTCTCATAGTTGAGGTATACCTAGGATGACAATTACAGGCCTCATCTTTTTAAGTGGGAGAACTTTCACAATTGGTGGCTGACTAAATACTTTTTTGCCCCACTGTATATGTTCTCCTCATATTAATCCATCTTTCCTGCTGTTCCTACTTCTCTCCAGTGGGTAAGCCCAAGAACCAAGTGATCTCTGCCTGTCGAGACGCCATCAAGAGCAACAACGTCAACGCACTGTTTAGGATCATGAGAGCTGGCACTGCATCCTCCTGAGGGCAAAGGGAGGTGGAATGCAGAAAAGGACAATAGATTGAAAGGACAAGAACAACGGATGAGAGCTATTATGTTAACCTTTATCAATTCCAAGGTTGGACTGAGATTAGTGGGATGAGAACTACACATGTAAAGGAACGCTGTTGTAGCCTTAATCTATCTTTAACCGTGATTTAGGAATAAATAACAACCTGGCAGCAGTTGAGCTAATATCCATTGAATGTTCTCGAGAAGTTCCAGGTGACACTGCACTTTTATAAAATAAATGTTTTTCCATGACGGTTTGTAGAAATATGCTGGATCAGCCGTGAGCTGACAGTGATGTTTAGAGAGAGCACAGCTGGAGAGCAGCTTCCTCTCAGACAGAGCCCCGAACGCTCAGGCTCTCTGCTCCAAGCTGGTGAGTGTTTGTAGCCAAAAAAACCATTTTAAAATAATAGTTGACCAAGAGGACCAATGCTGTGTGTTTACCTTTTGTAGAGAGAGAGAGAGATTGTAAGTGTGTTTTTGTGGCAGAAATTGTTATTAAATGAATTGTGTTTTAAAAGATTGCATGTTTTTTGTATTCTTGGAAACGTTGTGATCTCTATTAGAATGTGTGCTAGACAGTTTTTAAACAAAGCTTGGCTGCTCAGCAAAAACGACATAATTGGGAAAAGATTACTTCCAATGTTGGGACATATATCTGCCATGTAGGCTATGCTACATATCTTTTATTATTCTCTTATCCAGCAGGTTCTAAGGGCCACAACTCTGCTGACGTGTCAACTTATTACCATGCACTTTTCCAAACGTATCTTCTCTCTATAGGCAGGGGCGGCGGGTGCTGTTGGCTAGGGAAGGCTAAGCCTTCCTAAATATTTGTGTAACTGCATCCTGGTAAAATATAATGTCTTTGACATTAGCGCTGCTATGCAGCCACCTGTGCCCTGTACCACGAAGCCAGTTCAACATAACCTGGATATGCTGGAGTTATCTTAATAACTAACCCTAACAAACGAGATCTCGCTAAACGGTCCTACGGCGCTGGTTATCAACTCGGTAAATCAAGCCAGGGTTTCTCTCTCCAGCTGAGAGCGCGTTCACGTGAAAGGGGCGGTGTTAGCTACATTTGACCAATCACAAACAGGGACAAGTGTACTGACAGCGCAACATCATACTTCATTAATGAAAAGTAAACTAATATTAGACAAATTAACTTTAAACATCCATGATGACTTAAACATATAATCCAGGATACAAGCCACATAGTTGCACCTGCAAGGAGAATACAGAACAACTCGTTAAAAAATAAACTACTGAGTGTTTGAAAGCGTACAACAGTTTTATGATACTGCCCCATCTAAAACACGAGGGGATCTGACTTTATTACATTTGAGTTGAGTGTTTCGTCAACTTAATGTGTTGCTTAAAATAATACATCTGCATACAGTAGCCTATATGTGACAATGTAACTAAGTGTTGCACGGCCAGATACGGCTCGAGAAGCTGACTCAGATAAGGAAATATTGTGAGATCGATGATCTGATTGATGATGTGATGTCAGTGTGATATGAATGATAAGTGCGACACGTCGGCGTCTTCTCTGCATACGGCAGTTTAAACTGCATTTCCTTTTTCCTGTAATATGACTTGATAGATTTAAACTCCGCACACTGAGCTCTGATCGGTCAGCAGGCGGTGCTTTCACTGAATGGATCTCTTTTCTATAGACGCCGGAGTCGGGCAGCGTAAGATGAAAAAAAAAGTTATTTAGCCTTCCCAAACCTGAGCCTCACGCGCCGCCTATGTCTATAGGTCTAATTGTATGCACACATGTTCACGCACAAGCTGTTTTCTATAGGCGCCACCGATGGTTCAGTCAAGACCCAGTACATAGTCATGATTCATGAATCACCATTACTGTTGCCTATGCCGAGAGTGTCTGCATGCGTGTGCTTTCCTGCATGTTGCTTAGGGTGGTAGAAATATTTAAATATATAGGAACTCATTTGTGTGAGGTTTAATATTGAACATAATTAGTGACGCTCAGTTTTAATGACATGATCTCCAATAGCCTACTACTTCCCGGATGAATTATTCTGGATCTGGCTTTGATATATGACCTACTGGTAGAATAAAAAAACATGACTCATCAGAACATGAACTCACACTCTACACTTTTATTTATTCCTCTTGTCTTTTTCCCCCTTCACAATCCTCCTCAGTTGCTGTGCTGGCATCTGGCTTGAAGTAGCTTCGCTTTGGTTTAAGTCACGTGATAAGGAAAAAAAAGGATCAAGATGCTGCATTCAGGTGCTCCTTGTTAGCTCCGTCGTCTGACTACTCGCTCATAAATTCAAATACATCTAAACTAGTATATATTCTTTACGCATTTCCTGCCTAACTCCTTCGTTGTAAACACTTGCATTGTTGCCTACATATTTTAAAAGGTATTTAAAAAAAGGTTGGTCTTGTTGTATTGTATTCCAAAAAAGTCTATATTATTTATATTTGTTCAGTGCGCATTTACACCAGAGCAAATGCCATGTATGTGAATTGCCAATACGACGAAAGCTTATTTTTACCTTAGAAACCCGTTCAAAAATACAAAGTACTTGTTTGTAACAATGTCCAACAGCACGTGAAGGCAACCATAAGCAGTCAGCAGCTCGTGAAGAAGACAGGCTCAGCGCCAGGTAGATGTTCTTACCCTCCTCACACACACACACACGCACACACACGCACACACCTGAAGACAGACAGCATGTGAACAGCTCCCTCCTCTTCTCTCCTCGGGACTTTTTACATCATCTTCTTTGTGTCGCTGCGCAGAGTGGATTTGTGTTGCCCAGATGTTACCACTTTAACCTCCTCCGTCTCGTCTGGTAAGTTTAAATGACTTGCATCAGTCAGCGAACATTGAATAACTAAAGCGTTTTAATCAAACCAGCTAGTTGTTGATACTTTAAAACATGCCCATTGTATTTGGCGATAAATTATACTTTCTGTGTAAATTGCGCAAGAAGTTTGCTACACTTTTCCTCATTGTTGGTCACGCTTTTGTGACATTGCTGCTCTCAGACATATACATATATACTGTGGTTAAACTGTCACATCAATAACAGGGCGTTATTTGGGCATGGCTGCAAATGATGTGGATGTTGGGACACAGTGTTCTTTGAAAGAGTTGGTACCCTCATGCTCACTTACATAAGAGACACTCCCCCTTCAGAACAGAGTTTATCAATCGATGGGAAACAAGAAAAGGGATTAATTTACCAACAAGCAATGACATGTTGGATCATTTTAAATAAATAATACTGAATAGTAACTTATTCGAGGTGAGGGGGAAGCATGTCGTTACTTGTTGAAAAGCTCATTTAACAAAGATGCCAGGACATCTTATGACCTCCAAATGACCAAAACCCTGAAGTAAGCACTTTCAAAACAAATTGAGAAAAAGAGCCTGATTGGTTGTGTCTATTGTTTTTACAGAAATAATATGCTATATATTTGATTGTATACAGATGTCATATAACAATTATCCTGGCCCAAAAATAATGAATGACGATTCATCCGTATAATCATCAAAGTATTATTTAATCTCTTAAGAATGGCACTTGAATGTACTGAAATTGTCTAACATTTTGTACAGAAATAAGCAATTTTATTTCACAATATGTAGGACACTCCTTTTTAGTAAAAACCAACCATCTTAACCGAGTTATTAAAGATGATACAGTCCCCTTTTTTAATAAAGATTTGTGTTTGATTAATGCAGATTTCTAATGTTTTGTAGAAATAAAGTGCAATTTTTCGTACATGACCATTTCCGCATTTAGAAAAAAGGTATCTATTTTCACATCCCTACCTTGTGAGCTAGACAAATTATTAAAGTCACTTATGTGAAGTTTTTCATTGAATTATTGTGAGATTATATCCTTTACTGCTTAATCAATATATATTCCAGAAAACCACATTTTTGTATTGCATTTTCACAAGATGGTTTTCTGAATAATCCTCCTGACAACAAGCAAATGGGACGGTAACAATTTCCTCTTTATAAACAGGGAGTATCAAAGATGATGGAAATCTGTTGTTGTTATTGCCTCTGCCTATTGGTACCTAAGAAGAGGAGGATGGAGTTGGACAGTTTGGACGTACATCCAGTGATATGAAGACAGCCTGCAAACCAGAATCTAGTCTGACTCCGGTTCAGCGTGCTCTGCTGTCTGCAAAGCAGTATGAACTGCAGTGGCTCCTTCACACTGCCTGAATGCCTTGAATCCTGTCCAACACTTAACTGAAGTCAGGTTAATGAAGAAGATGCTGAGGAAGATGGTGACCATGAGGAGGATCCTCCATGTGAAGGCAGATGTGATGTGCACGATGCTGCTGCTGGTGCTGTTCTGTGTGCTGCTCTATGCCCGGCAGGTGAGGAAGCAGCCAATAGGAAAAAGGAGATTTGGTCAAATTCTTAAAGGGATAGTTCAGATTCAGGAGTACCTGTCCAGTTACTAAGCAACTGCAGCAGCAGAACATATTTTAGCCTCCTTGAGAAGGCTCAGTGAATAATTGGTGTCATTTTAAGTATCCAACAGGGAACAGTCGCCCCCCAGACTCGGTTGACAAAAGCATTCATTAATAAACCTAGCAGAACAGGGGAGTTGTTGATCTACCACTGCCCTGTTCGGTTAGTTAGTTTGTGTTGTTGGGTGACCTTGGTGGATCCGAACTATCCATTAAAACAGAAGTTACATAATCAAACAAACAAGCTAACAGATTGAGGTAGCAGTGGAGAAGTTCGCAAGGTCAAATTACAGTTTCTTTCAATGGAGTGTGGTTGCTTTCATGGAAGCAAGGATAACGGCTGTGAACATCGTTTAAATGTAGCATACACTTAAGCTACTACACTGAACAAAAACGCAACACTTTTGTTTTTGCTCCCATTTTTCATGAGATGAACTCAAAGATCTAAAACATTTTCTATATACACAAAATAACCATTTATCTCAAATATTGTTCACAAATCTGAAAAACTGTGTGATAGTGAGCACTTCTCCTTTGCCGAGATAATCCATCCCACTTCACAGGTGTGGCATATCAAGATGCTGATTAGACAGCATGATTATTGCACAGGTGTGCCTTAGGCTGGCCACAATAAAAGGCCACTATGAAACGTGCAGTTTTGCTTTATTTGGGGGGTCTGGGGGGGTCCAAAAACCAGTCAGTATCTGGTGTGAGGGGTAGGATTAGGGTTAGGGGTAGGGTTAGGGTTAGGGTAATGTTGTGAATTGAGTGGCCTGTGTTCGTCATCCATAACCTACGCCTGCCCATACCATAACCCCACCACCATGGGCCACTCAATTCACAACATTACCCTAACCCTAACCCTAACCCTACCCCTAACCCTAATCCTACCCCTCACATCAGATACTGACTGGATTTCGGACCCCCCCAGACTCCCCCAATAAAGCAAAACTGCACGTTTCAGAGTGGCCTTTTATTGTGGCCAGCCTGTGCAATAATCATGCTGTCTAATCAGCATCTTGATATGCCACACCTGTGAGGTGGGATGGATTATCTCGGCAAAGGAGAAGTGCTCACTATCATAGATTTTTTCAGATTTTTGAACAATATTTGAGAGAAATGGTTATTTCGTGTATATAGAAAATGTTTTAGATCTTTGAGTTCATCTCATGAAAAATGGGAGCAAAAACAAAAGTGTTGCGTTTATATTTTTGTTCAGTGTATGTATATTTTATTTAATGTCATACAACACAACTTCAAACAATATAAACTATCCCTTTAACTGGACTACTGCTACATAATTCTCCTTAATATTTTAGATTTATTTGAATGTCTAATCAAATCCCCCCCATGTTTCCAGGCCGTGCTCTCCTCTGAGTGGGACAGGCCTTTGCTGAAGCTGGAAATCCACGGATCTACCAGCCCCAGCAGGACCTTGCTGGGCGCCAGTGGGGCCAAAGTCGGCCAGGAGTCTCAAGGGGTATGACCGTATTTAATTCAAGTGATGAATGTATGTGCTTGTTTGGTTACCCTTTTTTAACATTTAGCTCATTGTTTCCGTTTTGGTTTAGTGTTTCCAGCGTCATGGTCTTTGTGCTCACAAAGAGACATTTGTTGGTCTGTTGAAGCACTGCACAGTGCATGTGCTGTGTAAATACTAGTATAGCTTATGTTGAGTGCTTCAATGTGTGTGTATACAGTATATTTGTATTAATATTAACGTTTGCCTTTATGTCCATCTGACTGACTTGCAAAAGCTCTAACACATTTTTATAATGAAGGACACAAACATAATGCTGTACAAACAGAAGTCATAATGCTAGCCCCCCCTGCATGAAACACCTTGATTGTAGTCCTTTGTTTACTTCTGCAATATCTACAACTTCTATTGGCTAGCGCTCCAACACATTGTAGCGGAAAGGCTAAGGGGCAGGACATCTCTAATAGAGCTGGAGCTTGAAAAGCACCGGGTTTTCCTGTTCACACCGCAGCGGAGCAGCCTCTTAGCTCCGGAATCCGGTTCGTTTCAAGCACCAAAAAGTTGTCCGGCCAGAGCAAAAGCAGCGCATACGTCACGCTAACGTCGAGGCGGGGGCGGGGGCGGGGGCAGGGGCAGGGGCGGGACCAACTCCTGAACAACAACAGAAAGCCCGCGTTTTATCCAGTTTGTACACAACGATGGAGAAACTTAACAAGCAGCAGTGGTCCACTGAAGAGACCAGCTACCTACTGGGAATCTGGTCTTCCGAAGAGGTACAGAGGAAGCTGGACCACAATCGGCCATTGTTGTTGTTGTCGGTGTCAGCTGTGAGGGGTTTCAGCGCGGTTTGGCTTTATGAAGCAGGCACGCAAACGGTTACGTCATGACGCAAATGATGACGCAATGACGCAGCACCAGTCGGACTCTGGGCAGTATGAAAAGAGCCGGAGCTAAACCGAAGAACCGGTTCTGAACCTGAAAAGTTCTAGCACGGAGCTTGAACCGGAGTTGCGTTGGTGTGAATGAGGTATTATACCTCATTCACACCAATGTAAAGCAGTAGCGTAGGCAGAAATGTATTTTAGGGTGGGCCTGTAAAAAATAGGGTGGGCCAGATTTTTCTTCTGCGCATCAGAAGCTAACAACAATCCCCGCCGGTACCGGTGGCAGATTACTTTTAGAATACTTTCTTTTTCCATAACAGATGGGTATGTTTTGGTGAACAGGAGACACGTATTTTACTGTTTTAATGGCTTATCAAGAGCACAAACACAACATCTTGGTGTCATTCTGAACAGCTCTCTCATCTGCACCACACATAAAACTATTTCATCGTCATCAGAAAATGATCGTATAGATCGCTGCTAGATGAGGGCAGTGGGGGCTCTTCTTGGAGTCTGGCTTTTTTTTTTTAAACCAAAGTTCATTAGTGAACTTTGAGCCATCATTTATTTTGCAGGCAGCTCTCTGCCTCTCACGTTATTATGGCGCGCGCCGGAACCAACAATCAGTTTTACCGTAAATGAGTTTGGTTCAGAGGATAACACATTTGTTCACTTGAATTTCACTTTGAATTCTTGGATATTCTCAATGGGTGAATACATTTTTTTATTAAAATAATAAAAAATTAAAAAAATCACACCGAAGCTTTCTCAGGGTGGGTCAATGAGTAAACTGGGTGGGCCTGGGCCCACCCTGGCCCTATGGTGGCTACGCCACTGATGCAAAGTATGTTACGTTCCCTTCTAGGGTAGAGGAACACAACACACACCAGAATGGATTTGGTTATAATTATAATAGGGTTTAATAAATAACAATGAAGGTGTACAACAAGATTAAATAAAAAATAGCCTAAGCCAAACAAAGGAGCCCAAAGGGCGCAGGTATCCCGCTAAATAACAGAAGGAGGACTCCAAAGGTGAGCCTAATCACACACCTGAAATCACTAATCAATCACCACTAATCGGAGGAGGCTGCGGGGAAATGCAGCTAACTAAGGGGTAACAAAACACACTACTCTAAACACATAACAGTACACGCTACGCTAAACACATATCACCACATACTACTCTATACCAAGCGGCAAACTCTGGGGAACAGCCGGGACGCCAATACGGAAGTGCCACACACTGCAGTTCATACATGGGCCGCTAGGGACTGGCTGCAGAAAGGAGCCATTTCCATAGACCCCCATGTTAAAATGCCCAACTTTACAGCAGAAAAAAACATGTTTCTACCCATGGATGCAATAAATATTATTATCGATATAGTTAGATTCCACCTTCATGATTATGAATCTGTGAGTGAATTGTTTTCTAACACGAACCTTTTATTTATATTAGGTCTTAAAGTTTTTGCATAAATTAGGGCGTGGTCACTTTGATGGACATGTACATGCCTCACTGTCAGCTAACAGCAACTTGTCCACTCTGCTAGGCTACAACCATAGAGGCTACAACGTTAGTTAGTCATAGTACTGTTTAAAAGCGATACAAATTTAGGAAGGTTGAAGACCAGACGAACCTCTGCAGCTCATCCAGAATGCAGCGGCTCGTCTGGTCTTCAACCTTCCTAAATGTTCCCACACCACTCCGCTCCTCCGCTCCCTTCACTGGCTTCCGGTAACTGCTAGAATCCACTTCAAGACACTGGTACTTGCGTACCATGCTGCGAATGGATCTGGCCCTTCCTACATCCAGGACATGGTTAAACCGTACACCCCAGCGCGTGCACTACGCTCTGCATCAGCCAAACGACTCGCTGCACCCTCGCTGCGAGGGGGACCCAAGTTCCCATCAGCAAAAACACGTGGGTTTGCTATCCTGGCTCCAAAATGGTGGAATGAGCTCCCCATTGACATCAGGACAGCAGATAGCTTGCACATCTTCCGGCGCAGACTGAAAACTCATCTCTTTCGACTCCACCTCGAGCGATAGAATTACTAACAAAGAACTGCTAACAGAGCACTTATATACTAATAAAGGACTGGCTTATATATAGCCAGTTGAGTAGCACTTGAAATGTTTGGCTCTATGAAACCTGATGTACTTATATGATTCTGTTTTCTTCAAGGTTGTGTCTTCCTGGTCGAATGTACTTATTGTAAGTCGCTTTGGATAAAAGCGTCAGCTATATGCAATGTAATGTAATGTACTGTACTTGACCCTTTAGCTTTAGCCGTGTTCGTGGTGATTGTGCCTTTTAGGGAATATTGTTACAAATACCAGACAATTAAAATGTCGTGCTGTGCGCTTGAATGTACTAAAAGAACTTCCAAGAAGTCTAAAATGATAATATTATACATGTTAACCCCGTTCGCAGGTGTTTGTGTGCTTGGTAGCTTAGCGTGTTACTTATTAGCCAGCTAAGGACGTAACCCTTTATGCATACATATACATTTTAGTTTATGATTCAGCCTTGGGTAAGACTTTTATAGTCTATGGCTATGACGCCCATAATGCTAAACGGGAGCAAATGTTAATAGGGGACCCAATTATCCCAGTGGTGGCCGCCGGAGCTAACGGAGCCGCAGGGGGCTAGCTCCAGCCGGCGTCCCGGAGCTAGCCCACTGCGGCTCCGTTAGCTCCGGGCGGTGGAGTCCGTCGTTATAACTGGAGATCAAGGAATGCAGCGAAACGCAGACTTGGTTCGCCTGCTGTAGTATTAGCTAAATAAATTATGTTGAACAAGGCTTATTAAGCTGAACATCGCCACAATTGTTCTGCTATGTATCGGTACTTCTTTTCTTAACGTGTGAATGACAAGCATTAAGAATAACAAAATATAGCTAATTCTCTTGCAGATTGTCTCATTTGATTATGAATGTAACGTTTATATAGGGGAACTACACTGTTAGCAGTAACTTGGTATGCATGTATTTCATGTTTGCTTAGCTTCTTAGCTTGAGCTAGCTCTGTTTACTTCCAGTTCGGAGGCAGCAGGTCCCGCCTCGGCTCCGCCTCTTTGCCCTTATTTGGAGCAGGCGGGATTAGACTCTGACGTTGCTGTCAAGCCGTTAGTGGCCGACTCCGCCTACTAAGGGCTTCTCTGCAGAATTCTATGGGTGAAGTCACGGACACTACGTCCATTTATATATACAGTCTATGCTCTATACACATAACTAAACACCTCTAACACACAACACTAAACACGGGTCAGAAGTAGTCAAATACACTCTACTACCTTAATGTGTCCACACAGGAACTGGGGTTACGTACTGTAACCCAGCATCTATGAGTATAGGCGCAGCCCTCTAAGGCTATTGCTATTGGGTAATACCTCTGCACGTGTGCAGCACTGACAGACTTAATCCACGCCCACCTATGACGTGGGCCCCACCTATGGACTCACTTCCGTATAAATAGGAAGTAGTCCCTACAATCTGCTCCCACACAAACAGCTTTTCTTCAGCTATTTGCGGAGCCAGTGGGGCCCGAACCTTAGAGGGCTGCGCCTATACTCATAGAAGCTGGGTTACAGTACGTAACCCCAGTTCTATTTCGTATAAAGCTTCGCCCTCTAAGGCTATCGCTATTGGGTTAAGGGCGAAGCAGGATGTAGTCTACGCCCCACTGGTCCGTCCGTTACCAGAAGCACAGAAACACACCTACTCAATTAATAACCCATGTCCATTTCGCCATGCGTAAATGGAGCATCACATCACACAGGCTACCTGTCGTTTATAAAAAGTAGAGACCAAAGTCCCACTTGTTAAAACGATCAAAGAGGGGGAAAAGGGCAGCTCTCTAAGTGCCGACAGGCAGGAGAGAGGGCACGCAGTTGAGTCCCCGACATTACTCACTCTGACAGTACTGAGTGTATCAGAGAGGAATGGGAGACATCCCTCAAAATAAACACGAATAAAAGAACAGGGGGAAGACCAAGATGCAGCAGTGCAAATGTCTTCCACTGTCATTCCTCCGTGCAATGCCGTGGAGGAGGAAATTCCTCTGGTGCCGTGCGCTTTGATGTTCTCCGGGGGATCCAACCCAGAGGAGAGA